TGAAGAGAGAACGAAGGCGATCTGACGGAAACGGGGACGAATTTGGTTCTTTGCCTTTGATTTGATGGTCCAAGCGAAAAAATACGAATCGTTTTGGATTCTACGGTCGATTTCAGACAATTCACTTTTCCGACCCAAAAAATAGGCAAGTGTAAAGCCTTGCTTTTTGCCGATAATCGAACACTCCAAAAATTTTCGGGAAATCACTTTTTCTTATAAACTTTGGTGCGTAGAATCCAAAACGATTCGTATTTTTTCGCTTAGACCTCTCAATCAAAATTTATGGACAAAAAACCAAATTCGAAAAAAATTCAAGGGGCTGTAACTTTTGATCTAGTAGCCCAATTTTCAAACTGTTTGAAATTATGGATTCTACACGCCCAAATCTATAAGGAAACGTTTTTTCCCGGTCGATTTCGGACAATTCACTTTTGCTACCCAAAAAATGGCAAGTGAACCTTGCTTTTTGCCGAAAATTGACCACTGCAAAAAATTGCGGGAAAACACTTTTTCTTATAAATTTGGTGCGTAGAATCCAAAACGGTTCGTATTTTTTCACTTAGACCTCTCAATCAAAAGTTATGGGCAAAAAATCAAATTCGAAAAAAAATTCAAGGGGCTGTAACTATTGTTCTAGCAGCCCAATTTTCAAACTGTTAGAAATTATTGATTCTACACGCCCAAATCGATAAGAAAATAATTTTTCCCGTTCGATTTCAGACAATTCATTTTTCCTACCCAAAAAATAGGCGTGTATAACCTTGCTTTTTGCCGAAAATTGACCACTCCAAAAAATAGCGGGAAAACACTTTTTCTTATAAATTTTGGTGCGTATAGAATCCAAAACGGTTCGTTTTTCTTCGCTTACCTCTCAATCAAAAGTTTTGGGCAAAAAACCAAAGTTTTTGGCATGTATAATCCATATCTTTAAACAGTTTGAAATTAAAAATAATTGAAAATCGTAAGAGGGTTGGCCCCCGATGTTATCAGTGTAGGGATTAATAAGGGTACAAAGGTAAATAAAGTTGCGGTGACCCTGTGTGAGTGATGAGGTTTCTTATTTTAAATGTAATTTAAAACTCTTCTAAACTGCAAGCTTTGACACGTCAACCTTGTGATAACATCCGGCGAAACTTTGAAGAAAATTGAATAATGGTATCTGAAACACTTTAAAAGTCCAAGATAGAGAATAAGTTGAGCGTTTTTTCGTCAAAACTTGCCTCTCACTATCAAAAGAAGCGTCTTAATCGGCCAAGTTTTTGCATAAGTTAATGCCGCGCGCCCCGTTCCGCGTGCTTTTTTCGCCCCATCTGTAAAATTACTTTTTTTCTTTTCGCCATGTCGTGAGTGGCAGTTTAAAAAGTCGTGTAACAAGTCTTAAACCAATTTATAAAAATGTGATTAACTATAAAACGTACCTACCAACCTAGCTCGATAGATCCACGTCAGAAGCTTTTCAATTCAATTTCCGTCAAGTGCCGGGACCAGTGAAATTTTAACGGGAACTAAGCCTGTCAGCCACAAAGCTATTGAATGCTGTTGGATTTACTCCGTTTTTTTCTTACCTATCGCAATATACACATACGCACTTGGCATACAAGTAACTATTCCACGTGTTTACTCCAATATGGATATCGATTGTGCGCCTCAAAAATATACTTTGCAAGATGGTAGAACTTCAAGTCCTTTGGAAGGTAGTACCTGATTTTCGATTAACATTGTTCAGACTGAGAAGGCCTTGTTCTTTCAATTGTAATTTAAATGTTTGCACATACAAACTGGAGAGCATACGACTCCAAAAGTTAATTTCCACAACAGTAAAAAAAAGTGCAGAAAATCGTCCCTTTTGTGACGATATTTTTTTACTGTTTAATCTTTGCTCCGGCTTTCATTTAAATTTCCATGTGGAATCTCGCTCAAATAACATTATGCGAATTCGTGTCTTTATATAACAATCCTTACGCCATCTAGGTGATTCTTTCGTTAAATGTTGAATATAGCTTTATTTTATGATGTTCCCGTAGTAGATTTCTTGTCGTGTGTTTTTGTCCCAGTGCTCGTTTTCGATTCTTACTTCGTAAGCAGTTACACGCTATTAATTTACTTGACATTTTTTGTCTACCATTTTATCGGATATACTGGTGTTGTATATATTAAGATGTTTCTCTGAAATTGTATTACTTCCAAGCTTCACTGACGCATTTTTGCGGATTTATCTTACAAGCTTAAGACCCTCTTCCGACAATCCGTTGTGGAGATACAAGGGAAGATATCCGATCCCGATAAGGGGTCGAGGAGGGGGACGATAGTTGGTAGAAATAAATTCCTTTCGTTGAGACCTTTCATTAGAGTACCATGAAAGATGAAGCCAGTTCCCCCCCCCCCCCCCTCCGTTTTTTGATCAGGAAACGAAAGAAGGGCAATAGTTGGTAGAAAATGGTTCCTTTAGTTGGTTGAGACCTTTAATTAGAATACCATGAAAGATCAAATTAATTTCTGATTCAAAAAATTCCAGGACCATTCCCCTAGAAGTAGATCACAACGGCAGAAGTGCGTACGGACGGACGGACGTACAAAACGCAAACAATAGCACATTTTTTTTAATTTTAAAAAAAATGCGCTAAAAAAGGACATTTGCTCTGAGAGATTTTCCGCGGATAGTTAATCCAGAGGAGTTTTAGAAGAGATTCGGTCGGGAACTAGGAAGAAGTAATTACGTCGTGAAATAATCTCGTTCGAGCTTTGCCAGGGTGAAAGTTTTTTTTCTCGGGACACCAGAAAACCAAGTGATTGCCGGTATTTTTGTTGAAACAGAAAATAAACGCGAATTTCGTGCGTTTACAGTTAAATGATAGGTGAATTAATCAAACGTTTTAGTTGTTTATCCATGCTAAACAAAATGTTTATTCTATAAAGAAAGCAAGATAAAGATAAAACATGTGAGCAGTTGGGTAGGCGAATTACCGTCACGTAAAAAATTAATACCGTACCCAGTGAAGGACAAATGAATTAAACGTGCCCGTTTCATATTTTTCTCCGCTACAAAGAGTACAGTACAGGTTATTCCGGCGCGTATATAACAATAACGGGATTGAACTTTGTCACCGGAATTCGTAATCATAAAATTGTTATCGCCCGCAGTTGAAAAAACAGTAATAAAAAAACAGGTTATAAAATTGTAACTTCGTGAACTTGTTAACAACATGCCTCCGAGTTAATAGTTCCGTGTCTGGAATAATCTCGGAAGAAATCGGGAAATGCAGGCACAGGAATAATCTCGTATGGAATACACAGGAAGGGCAGCGCGTTTCCTCTAACGGAGGAATTTTACAACACTCCTTACATGTGTTTCGTTACCGATACCAGTTTCGTTTCTACACTACTACTGAATACTTTTTCACCAACGAAAATGATGGTAAAATGCATCTTAAACTATTACCAAGAACTTTGAATTTTCCTACAACTGCCAAATGCGTTTTTTCCGCTTGCCTGACAAAATAGGTGCGCGAATTAATCTTCTGGAGGGCCACAACATTGACTAACACCCATAATATCTTAGTGAAGATACAAGACCGAAGCTAGCTCAGATCAAGATGGCTCGCCACCTGGTGGTGACTTTGTAAAGTACGTCAAGGTGAAGTTCAAGGATAACGTGGGCTATGGCATTGGTAAGCAGATTAAGGTTTCAAGGTTTTCAGAGATGAATGGCACCATTTCTTGTGTTGTCACATTTCACTTCCAAGGTTGACGAAAAATAGGTCAGGGTGAATCTTTAACGGTCGCTGGCTTCCTGGTGATTAGTTGGTGAAGGTCATAAGCTCAAATGTTGCTAGCTCCCTAGGAGGAAACAAGTAGCATTTCTAGTGTACACCAAAAATTCAAATTCAAATTAATTCACGTTAATTCAAATTAATTCACGTCAATTCAAATTAATTCACGTTAATTCAAATTAATTCACGACAATTCAAATTAATTCAGGTTAATTCAAATTAATTCACGTTAATTCAAATTAATTCACGTTAATTTAAATTAATAATTCAAATTAATTCACCTCAATTCAAATTATTTTACGTTAATTCAAATTAATTCACGTTAATTCAAATTAATTCAATTTCAAATTTTCAAAAAATTGCTAGATCGTTTCCGAACGGAATTAATTAATTAATTATTACTTCAATTAAATCATATGCCAGTGCGGCGAGGAGAAAAATGACGTAAGAGAGGAATTTAGTCCATAATACCCTATGCTGCATCTGGAGGTGCGAATGCGCTATAGGAATCACACTTGACAAAAAACTGAATTGAAGTAAACATATCCAGCTCAAAGTTGAAAAGCAACTAGGGTTTTCTGGGAAAGTCGCCGCGCAATTGAGCTCCAAGTCGACAAGGTTCCTTGATTGTAGTGCCTGCAAGAGCAGTCCTCCACGTGGCAGTGTTGGCCTCTCCGCAGCTCCTGGATATCGTCAGAAGCACCGCATTTTTCTTGGTGTACCCTTGAATCAAAACTCAACAGCAGAATTGGTCCTTACAATTTTTGCAAAAAAAATATGCTTTGCAAAATCCAAATCCTGATCACAGACAAGTTTTTTTTGCATATTTCGAGACATATTGGAAAAGACTAGAATTGAAAGCAGCTAATTTTACCTGTAATTTTACATTGAAGATCGTAAACAAGATAATGGCACTCCACCTTGGTCAAATAAACTGAAGTGTTTGGTTGGGATTTATCTCCTGTTTTCCTTTGCCGGGTTTTTTACAATGTCATCAGAATGCAGTGTCGCAATCGGACACTGTTCTTAGGAAAAACACTGTACTCATGAGTGGATCCACATCAAAAATCAAAAATTAGAAGAATCTGAAAAAGTTGCAAAACCCCAAGAGTTTTGGGTGGGTATCATAATGTGAAGAATTGGAGGGATTCGGAAAAATGAAGGAACCCATGACGAAACAGTAATAACAATATTGGATGTGAATTTGAACAGTTCAAAAAAACAAAAAACTTATTAATAAGAGCACAGTGGTCTCTTTATTTATATATCAAAATCGATTTCCTTAGTTTTACCCTCCCGAATCATATCATGAATTAAGATCAGAGAGTCCTCCTTCGTCTTTTCTTTAATCAGAATGGGATGCTCACGCATCGCGGCGCACCACGAGTACAAGTTCGGCAACGCCTCGGCATTGGGCACCTTTCCGGGGAACAGTCTCTCAAACAGCGGGGCCCTTTCGGCCCAAGGCCAAAACATGAAATCGATCATGCGCGGTTCGCAGCCTCCAAAGTATTTACCTGCAGGAGGTTTGTGAGGAAACTAAGCCTTCACCGGTGCGTACTCACCCCGCTTGCCTAGCTCTTCCTCGTACCTTTCGACGTGCTTGAGTAATTCGAGGAAATCGGCAAGATCGTGATTATTCAGGACTTTGTCGAAGTGGACGAGCAGGTCATCGAAGTCCCTTAGCAGTACTGAGTCGTGATCGCGTTCGTCGATCTTCTTCGAATGAAGAACGGGTTTGGGGTACTCTTCGTCCAGGTAGTTGCATATCAGGAGACTGTCGGTTAGTATCGCTAACCCCGCGTCGAATATGGGCACCTTCCCTTCAACCGCAAAAGTAGAAGCAATTAGATCTTAGAATCACTCACCTGAAAGGTGCAGGGTAGATATCCATTCAGGCTTATCCAAACAATGCACATTTACAATTTCGCATGGAATACTCTTGATAGCGATTACTATTCGTACCCGTTGAGCGTAGGGGCAGTAGTTGGTGGAGTACAGTCGCAACCCATTATTCACCTTTTGGGGAAATTCGCTACCTAGAAATCGGCAAACTTAAATTAGTCGCAGAGAAAAACCCCATTTACCGCTCCGTAGATGTTTCTCGCCCATTTTGCCAGATGTTTTTAAATTCGTGAGTTATCTTCTGATATCTTATTGAAGTGTCAGCGAATATCTTATCTTCATTCTCGACTTTTACCTTAAGTAGGTTCGGCGAATTTTTATTTAAGATAAGCCAAATTACATAATGAAACATGGGCCACGTAGTGAAAAAAGAATCTAATTTTTTAATAAGGCGGTCCTCTATCTTTGGTGTGTAGTGATATTAACTCAATGACTTTATGACATTAATCATAATTGGGTGTATGTTTCAAAACCACTTGTGTACGGTGTGTCCCAAATGTGAGATATGACGTCACCAGCCCTAATTTTTTATGACTCTTCTTAATGGATATTTCAAGTGGCACATGTGCGCCAAATGTGAAGTTTTAATTTCTTGTCTCATTTTTTGACTACAGTCACATCGGAGCCCGGTGTTTTGAATGTTTTATGCATCAGCACCTTTAAAAGCGATGGGTCATTCGAATTATCGATTCTTATTGATTATTAAGGATCCTCAGATCCTTTATAGTTTTGTATTGTCGTCCGTCCGTCCGTCCGTCCGTCCGTCCGTCCGTCCATCCGTCCGTCCGTCCGTCCGTGTGCGCTCTAACTCTTTTTAAAAGTGGCCGATTGTGTTGAAATTTGGTATACGGGTACTTTGGACATTAAGGACGGTCGCTATTGATTTTCGGGAAGCTGGTTCAACAGGAACAAAAGTTAGAGGGCTTCAAGTGAATCGGGAACAGGAAAAACTGCAGACTCAATATAATAGAAATCAAAATATTTCATTCCCTAGCTCATGTATCGAGTTCGGACTTTCGCCAGATTATTCCCTATGACTCTTAGATGTGTAACAATTCAATATAACTCGTCTCTGTGGTCTAGGTCAAAAGTTTTAGAGCAAAATGTACTCAAGATTATTTTTTACACATGAATTTGGAGTTTTAAAGGTTTTCAAACGCATTATCTTGATGCTGAAAGAGTATATCACGTGCACATTTGATAACCGCATGTGTGTGATTAAAAAATGTTAAATTATTTTTCTGAGGCCACATGGTTTTTTGATCAAAATATGTCAAAATCGTTATTTGTGCACCAAGATCATTGGGAAAAAGACTAGGGGCTTTATCTCAATACCCAAGATATGAATTTGATCCATTTTTGGCGACCACGTGGATTTTGATCAAAACATGTCAAAATCGTTATTTATGGACCAAGATCGTTGAGAAAAAGACTTGACGCATTATCTCAATGCTCAAGACACAAATTTGATGCATTTCTGGTCACCACATGGATTTTGATCAAAACATGTCAAAATCGTTATTTATGCACCAAGATCGTTGGGAAAAAGATCAAGAGCATTATCTCAATGACTTAAACATGAATTTGATCTATTTTTATCGACCACATGGATTTTGATCAAAACATGTCAAAATCGTTATTTATGAACCAAGATCGTTGAGAAAAAGACCAAGAGCATTATCTCAATGACCAAAACATGAAATTGATCTATTTCTGGCGACCACATAGATTTTGATCAAAATATGTCAAAATCGTTATTTATGCACCTAGATCGTTGGAAAAAAGACCAACAGCATTATCTCAATGATCAAAACATGAATTTGATCAATTTTTGTCGACCATGTGGCATTTGATCAAAACATGTCAAAATCGTTATTTATTCACCAAGATGGTTGGAAAAATGACCAAGAGCCATTATCTTAATGCCCAAGGCATGAATATTATGCATTTTTAGGGACCACATGGATTTTGATCAAAACATGTCGAAATCGTTATTCAATGATCGTTCAATAAGTGATGGTAATACTGAGGATCCTTCGATATTACGTTGTATCGGTTTATTAATAATAATAATAATACCAATAGATGTAAATACAGTAAAGAAATACGCAGGCAAAATTGAAAAATATACAGAACTAGCAATAGAAGTGGAGAGAGTATGGAGGCAAAAGCAAGTACATATAATACCATTCATAATATCAACAACTGGAATCGCACAAAAAACATTTAAACAACATTTACAACTTGATCTAGATACATACACTCATCATCACATTCAGAAGGCAGTCATACTCAAAACCTGCAGCATCACCAGAACTTTCCTCAGAAATAACTAGCCAGACTTGACAATAGTCCGTTTGACTAGGATTAGAACCGGCAAGACCGAGAAAATCAAATAATAATAATAACCAAGAAGAGACCATTTCAGTACGTATCTGGAGATCACGACGATGGAAACGGACAAGACAGCATATAGAGGTAAATTACATCAAGCTTTCATTACACAATACCCACATTTAGCACACTTAACAAAACAACGCATTGCAGACCAACGTAGAGTTATCATTAAAAATACACTCCTTACATTAGACACACAGGTGCAAATCAGGCACGAAATTGAAGCACTACTCAACACAAACAACACACTCACCAGTCACCGTACAAGATAATACATCCGTTCTAAACAACTCTGAAATACAGACATTCGCGACACTTCAGCAATCGATAGAAACAAATAATCACACAAACTAACATCCCTTCAAAAAGAATTTGACAATGCACTGTTAGAATTCTCAAACACTGACCCAACACGAAGAGCACGAATACCTAATCAAAGCCACACTACAAAATTGCGCACACTTTCCTAGATACAGATACATTGAAATGTATTCAAATAATTTCAAAAGTATTCGAATACTTGTCACTCAAATACATTAAAAATTTAAAATAGTATACTAGATAAAAGTCTTAACACTACTTAAAAAATCAAGTTATACTTTGTATGGGGTTAGCTTTTTTTATATTTCTATTGTTATATACAAATTTAAGGGGAGTAAAAGCGTATTATTGTTATTATATTATTATATAGGAGGTACCTACCAGGACCTTTTCAAATTAAGTGTAGACCATGAGACCAAGGGATAAGTCATACCATCTATATAACTTAAAAGTACTGCCTTTTTTTTGCACCGAAAAAAAAATTGTCTCAGATCGACCCGGAAATAGTTATTTGTTTCATTAGTACAAAAAATGTCAGTTTTCGGGACGAGGAAGATAGTTTCCGAGTCCCGAAAACGCATTTTTTGTACGAATAAAACATAAAATTTTTTCTCCAACCCCCTTTACTTCAAATTATATTCGAATTTAGATTCAGTCACAGTTTCACTACTATAGTATAAGAACTTCTGCTTTCTAATCCTCACGTGTCATGCCACTCTAGTTTTTAGCTTGTAACCTATTCGTTCTTACTTCTTACTTCTCACCTCTCGCGACTTTGGAGGGAGCAAATCTTGAGGTAGCATGTTCTGCCGTTTCTAAAATCTCTGGCGGAGTGCAATCCATGTCGCTATCAGTTTCAGTCATTTCTATTGTATACACAATTAATATTGTTATATTTTGTATTGAAATAAAAAACTTACCATACAGTTTTTTAATTAAAATTAATTGCAATTAACTTTTTCAAATTTTGAATTCAAAATGACAGATAATAGTGCAATGGGCCTGAAGTAGATGGCGTTACGCGCGACGGCGGGTTGTATACGTATTAAAATTACGTTCATCGAATATGTAAATTACGTTACACATGGTTTAAATAAAAATAGCGAGCGTAAACCATTTTCAATACATGTACATACGTATAGGTAACATCATTATTTGCATTGAATATGCAAAAATATTTGATTTGTATGTATAGAAATATCTTACAACCTGCAATGTAAAACGATGTCAATGTGACATATCTCCGTGATTGTAATTTTTTAATTGGCCAACTTTCAAGGTCAATTTCTTTTTGGTACTAGGACCAAAAGTATCCACTTTTTGTACAGTTGCCATGGTGAAAGCGATTAATCCGCAAAACGTCAATTTTACGTACCGAATACTGTCACAAAATAGCGTCTTATTCAGGTGGTTGGAGAAAAAAAAATTTTCTTATTGAATGTGGCATGTAGAATGCATAATTTCAAACAGTTCCAAGATTGGGCTACTAGATCAGAAGTTACAGCCCTTTGAATTTTCTTTCGAAATTGGTTTCTAGTCCATAACTTTTGATTGAGAAGTCTAACCGAAAAAGTACGAATTATTGTTTTGGATTCTACGCACCAAAATTAATAAGAAAAGTGTTTTCCCGAGAAATTTTGGTGTAGTCGATTTTTGGTAAAAAAGGAAGGTTATACCAGGGGGTAAACACCAGGGGAAGTAATTGTACAGAATGGAGGAAGTTATGAGGAAGTACAGGGAAGTACGGGGAAGTACAGGGAAGTACGGGGAAGTACAGGGAAGTACGGGGAAGTTCGGGGAAGTACTGGAAGTCCAGGGAAGTACGGGGAAGTTCGAGGAAGTACGGGGAAGTAACGAGGAAGTAGGTACTCATTTGTTCATATGATGCGTAATGTGACAGAAGGTGACCGGAGAGGTAATCTGGTAAACACTGAAAAAGTAATAAAGTAGTTATTTCTGAGTGCATAAATCCCGCCTCGTTCCAGAAAAGTCAACACCTATGATTGTGATTATCTATATCTTACCTAAAATCAAAACCTGTTGTTTCATTACTAGCGTCTGATAACATAATTATTAACCTTTTTTCCACTTGTAAAGCAGGCTTTCTCGCCAGTTGTTCAAAGTAGTTAATAATGTGGTCATTATTAACCAGTAGTCAATAATGAGAACTGTCACGCTGTCACTTTTAGAAATCACAACCTGAAATTTCGCTCAATAAACGTTCAGATAAGTTCTCTAAAATGAATAATTGCCACCATCCGCCATTTCAAGAGAAATTACATACAATTATCACATTTCGAAAAAATTCGAACGAAACTACTCTTTGAAAATATCTCAACAGCAGAAGAAAATACGGCCTCCTTGACTGTTACTTCCACCCACGTAATTGACATATTAAATTAATAAACCAAAAATTCTGTTCAACCGTTCACTTTTTTAACAATATAGATCTGTTAATTTAGAGGACTTCAAGTACTATGCGATCAAAAATGAGTTGCTGTCGAGTCGCCTTTGGAATTTTTGTTTACATGGTAAATCGT